ATTACATGCTGACAAAGCACGACGACAATGACAGCTGGGCAACGCAGCAACTTTATTATGGTTGCCACTGTTTATTTTGGGTGGCACAAATTTGTAGGTGCGTGTTGTTGCTCCCCCCCTTATTTTGTACCATGACAATTTTTATATCAAAATTTGGTACTCAATTTGTAGTCTTCAAAAATACCATTTTTAGACTTTGTACCACTCAATCCACCAAGTACAAATTGCTCAAACATGAAAATATCACGAAAAACGTGATTTTTGTATGGAAAATTGTTTATAGCGGGATTTTTTTGGGAAAATTTTTGCACAGCGATTTTGCACTAAATTTGTGCCGACAGAAAATATATACTTTTGTACACTTTGGTCTCATAGGTTCCGAGTACAAATTGCTCAAACACGAAAAAATTACAAAAAACGCCGTTTTTTATGGAATTTTTTTTTTAAACTGAATTTTGTTTGGGAAATTTTTTCACAGCGATTTAGTACTCAATTTGTACCGACAGAAAACATATACTTTTGTACACTTTGGTTTCATTAGGTCGGAGCAAAAATGGTTCAAACACGAAAAAATCACAAAAAGTGATATTTTTGTATGGGATTTTTTTTAAATGGACTTTTTTGGAAATTTTTTATGCTGGCAAATATATTTTTCAATTTTTTACGTGTCGAGCACTTATCTTAAAAATGTCAATTTCTTCGAATTTTGACGAAATTGTTCGAATCTTGGTTCGAATTATTTAAAAAAAAATACTATTCAGATTACATATTTGTACAACTCATTCGGGTCGGACACATAAACCCTTATAAAAGTGTTATCAAAAATCAAATGACTTTTTTTTGGTTTCGGGAACATAAACGATTTGAAGAATATTTGAAACCGACAATGCAAACTAAATCGAGTATAGAACTACAGCGAAAAGTATTTGGTGGTTCAATAAGTCTTTGGCCTGACAACCAGATGGCGTCATAAATAAAAAATCTCTTTATTTTTGACAAGTACCACCTGTCTTCACAATACTGTCAAATTTTAAGCCCAATCCGTGCATTTGTTCACAAGTTACAGGCATAAGTATCAAGCAACTTTTGAGATTTTTCAAATAATGGAAAAAAGTAAATTTCGAGTCTTGATTAAGCACTGCTTTTTAATGGGAATGAATACCGTCGAAGCAAAGGAATGGCTAGATAAGTGCTACGGCATCTGTTCACCACCCAGTTCAACCATCAAATACTGGTTTGCTGAATTTCGTCGCGGGCGTACATCCACCGCTGATGCTGAACGATCAGGTCGCCCAAAAGAGGCAATTATCCCCGAAATCATTCAACAAGTCCGCCGCATGTTATTGAATGATCGAAAAGTGAAAGTGCGTGAGATAGCTGAGTCCATAGACATATCAACAGGGTCAGTGGTTACAATTATGCATCAACATTTGCACATGAAAAAGCTGCTTGCTATGTGGGTGCCGCATTTTCTCAACATCGACCAAAAAGAACAACGAATCAATGATTCTCAGCGATGTTTGGCATTGTATAATCGCAATCCAAGGGAATTTTTGCGTCGATACATCACGATGGATGAGACTTGGGTCCATCACTACGTACCACAAGACAAACGTCAGTCTGCGGAGTGGGTAGGACCAGATGAAAGACCTCCAAAGCGTGTGAAGCAAGATCGATGGGCTGGCAAGGTATTCGCCAGTGTTTTTTGGGATGCGCATGGGGTAATATTCATCGATTATCTCGAAAAGGGTAGAACGGTCAACAAAGAGTATTATATAGCCTTGCTTGTATAAACTATTTTGTCTGTTCGTATGTATATGAGATTAGCCAGTTCTCACAACTACAAGTTTTGAGCCGTATAGATAAGCTTTCCCTTATTCTACGGGCAGTATTGACCCCATGAATGTACTTTGCATCATCTGCTTACACAAATGACAAATCAACTCAATATGAACAAAAATTGACATAAAACTCAATTTATCCGAAGTCTCAACCGTTTTTGGGATAAATTTCAGTATGCATTTTTTCTCCTCAAATGCCACAGTGATATATGTTAAGCACTTAACCCTAAAACCGTCCTTCTGCAATCCACCTTAATCCCGTCTTTGGGGGCACTCAGTGCCCGTAGTGTAATTTGTATGAAAAAATTGAAAAAATTGAATTTTTTTTGGAATTTTTGCGATATTTCGAGAAATCTTGTGTCTAATCGTAAACTGAAGACATGAATGTGCGCATCGGGTCGGCAGCTACGTTTTGTATACTGTGCTGACAAAATAAATTAATATTGGCTGAACAAATTTTTACTAAATTGTATCACTTCGTCTTGGGGGCACTCAGTGCCCGTTAGTGTATTTTGTATGAAAAAATGGAAATTTTTCAATTTTTTATTTTGAATTTTCTCGAAATTTTCAGAAATATTGTGTCATTTCGTAAACTAAAGACATGAATGCACGCAGCAGATCGGCAGCTACGTTTTGTATACTGTGCTGACAAAATAAAATAAATATTGGCTGAACATATGTTTGCGGTACCAATGAATTCGACCAGTTTCATTTTCAAAATGGCATTTTACACTGTTTGCCTTTAAGTTTTCTCTGTTAAATTTATCTGAGTATGGGAATTCACCTAAATGAATAAAAAAATGAATTGAACACGAGACATGTTTGTTGTGTATATGTAAAAGTAAATCGAAGCAATTCAATGCAAAACACAATTTCGGCAGAATTTGTTTATAATAAATTATTATTCTTATTTGAATGTCACACGGAACAACGAACAACGTAACAAGTGTATATATGCTTGTATATGAGAACAATCGATTCATTCGTGCACAAACACTTTTTACAATTCAGCAATTTTCCCATACAAAATATATGAAAATATACGTCGGGCACTGAGTGCCCCAAAGACGAAATGACCATCTTTTTTTTGCCGGCCATTTTGCTCTTTTACTTTAAGAAATTTCTTAAGCTCACGAATATTCTAACCGATTCAAACTAGAAAATATGTTTTGTTTCGACTCGATCAAGTTAGCTTTGACGTTAATGCGTGCTAATATATGATAATTTCCTTCCATATTTTGAACTGAATTCTTTTGTTATTTATCAGTTTTGTTTCTTGTCACTACAGCTACTAGTAGTCACTCATAATATCAACTGGTAGGTTACTTATTCGTTGGAAAATCACTAATATGAAAAACGTACGTGCACTTTCCTTCAGACCACAATATCCCTACTTGAGCCATCTACGTGGGATGGATTTAAAACAAGTTGAAAACCATCGAAATACTTCAAGGCTAATCCTAAATAGTTCTATTTTTGCACATTGAAAAAATCTCTTTGAGAGTAAATCAGTATATTGGAAATATTTAAAACCAATTGAAATCATTTCAAATAATTTTGAATCACATTGAATCATTTCAAATCACCACGTGACATTTTGTGTGAAACTTTGCAGTGAAGTTGACTGTCGATGTTTGCATGAATATCGTATGCAAAAATATAAAAAATTAAAAAATGCAATGAGATTTGTTATTGTCTAATTATGTTTTTTAAATGCAATATCCTCTAACGGCATACTTGAATTTTTTGATACTAAAAAAATGTTATAGTTTGCTTTTATAAAAAATAGGTATCGAAGTGGAGTTTGATGTTTTGACTTTTTAATTCAGTAATAAGTTGTCAGACAAATTCGTGCCACCCAAAATAAACAGTGGCAACCATAATAAAGTTACTGCGTTGCCCAGCTGTCATTGTCGTCGTGCTTTGTCAGCATGTAAT